CTGGAGGCAAGAAAGGGAAGGAGAAAAATAGATGAGGCTGAAGCCAAGTGGACGTAACAGAGTCCAAAACGCGTGACTCTCATATCATCCACGGTCTCGGTAATGAGTGGATTTGGAGATGCAAACATCTGAAGGCGCAAACAAACAAGCCATTACATTCTGCAGGAGCTTTGCACAGCTGGAGACCGGCGCTCCGGGGAGGGGAAATGTTACGGGGAGCTCTGATTTGATGTTTCCGTCACACACACACACCTGACTAATTGGCTGCATCTGTCAGCAGAGCACCAGATAAGAAAAAAAAAAAAAAAACACAAAGTCATGAGAGGAATTTCACTCCGGAGTGAGATGTCAGAAACATCGATGATAACGTTCAGCCATTTGCTAAAAAACAGCTGTCAGGTTCCAATTCATGCACACGGAAACCACGTCTGATTTCAAATTGCTGGATAAAAACCCAAAAATGACAACGCTTTGCAGAGAACAGATCAGTGAGCTACAGCCAAACACGGTTTAACCGATGTGTGGAAAACAGAAGAGATTTAATAGGGCAGTTCAAGCACCCCTTCAAAAACCTCCACACAAAATATGGATGTGTTTTGTATCCATTTATTTCTTTTGTTGAAGCTTCCGTCCACCATCAAGCCGGAGGAGATCGTCTGTTGGCTGAGATTTATTGAGATACACACATTAATATTCAAATTAATGGGACTAAAATAATATGATGATGTACTTATTTGTATTTAACTCTTATGTGACACTGTATAATTGACTTCAAGGGTCAGAAACTAAGATATTGAAAAATGTCCTTCCTTTGGAGAGTCTATTGGTGCCTTTTATAACAATTTAGTGTTCAACCTTTTCAATAATCCAATTTATTCATTCCTGCTGCAGTCTTGTTTTTTCACATTCAATTTTCTGTTTTTTTAGTGAGCATACAACAAACATCTCCCCCATTTAACTGACTTCCATATTTTAAGAAAGATCTTTATTTGCTTATTTGAAAATACAGGCATTCTTAGTTTTTCACCTCACTTCCAACAACTGAGGGTCGGATTATCATGTTGAAGTAAATAAGAGCCACGAATTTTAATAGCCAGCGAGGAAAGCCTTGCTTATAAGGCCAAACAGCCAAACAGCCATATCCCCAAAGACGATAAGAGTCTGAAAGACTTATACATTTAAATGCACTCAATAATGATCATCGTTGTATTTTCTATTTATCTGTGAAGAAAATGTGTGTACATTTGTTTTGCAGTGAGAGATCAAGTCAAATTTAATGGATTTATGCAAGTGGACAAAACATATTTTATGCTAGAAAGTTTGTTTCCCGCTGCAAACATTTTTCCAGGCGGTGTAAAGAAATCTGACGTTCGGACTTCTTGCCAGCTTTCTTTCTTTCCAGAGCAAGAGTCCCTGAGCAACAACAAAACAAACCCCTTCCTGAGATACGACCGGGCCGTGGAAGGCGCAGAAACAAATGTGAAAGGACTCATTTTGTGTCATTGACCTTGCGCAGTTTAGCTGATCGGATAATAAAAAAAAGAATTAATGCATGCCCGCCGCCTGCAAAAGAAAATCAAATCAGGTGAGAACGGAGCAGAACGGGTAGATTTAACTGAGTCCTATCTCAGTCAAGGTAAGTGAAGTGTAAATGGCATATTGTTCTTCTCTCTTCCAGGTAAGGCTGGCAGAAAAACTTGTTTCCTCCACTTACCCAGCAGCTCATTAGCTTCTCTGTTGTTGTAAATCACATCATGGCCATTACTCCTGTCTGGGCCCGCGTCTAGCTCCCTGCACTTCAGAGAAATGAATGGCGCTCGGGAGCTGCTCGCAGCCATTTAGTTATTAGTTAATGCATCAACCAAGCCATTGTACTTTCCGAGATCCTCATAAAGGACACAGAGGTGGCTGCTGATTGGCTGCGTTCCGCTGAGAATGGCGGTGGGTGACACTTTGGTTTATTACCTTACGGAACATATAAATGGTCTGTTCCGTGAGCACTTTGCTGTCCCAAAGCGTTCCACGTTGAAAGGACAGCGAGCTTATTTTGGGATACTGATAATATGATGAGATGAGAATCTTTGAAGAGACAGACCACTTCTCTTTTGTGACCAAAGCTAGTCCTTTATGGCTCTGACTGGACGTTTCGGCTCAACCTGTGGAACCATAGCACGCCTTCCTAATATAATATATTAATATATAGGTCTTAAACCTGCAAAAAGCCTTAAACTTTTCATAGGGTTTAACTTGATCTTTGCGTGGGTGAAACCCTCCTTTTGGGCCAAATACGATGTCGATGCTGGTCAAACGCCTTCCAATGCCAAATCATGACATTTAATTGCATAAAAGTTTACTTTCCCCTCTGATTTGAATAATGTTAACAAAATACCACACTCAGAAAACCTTCGATCTTTTTGGGCACCGCATAACAGAGACTGATTCCTTTGAAAATGCTCTACTCCTATCCAACAGTCCACACAGCCAATCTAAACAGCCAGCATCAGCCAAACACAGTTAATTAAGACCTTCACATTGTTCCCATTGCCTTCACATCAGTCCTGTATCAGAGCGCCACTCAGCCAGGCCCGACAGCTCTGAAAAGATGGGCCAAATGTGAGATGCACAAGGCTGTGAATCAGATGTTGTTGTACGGCTCAATGTAAAAGACGACATATTGAAAGCTGAAACACAGAAATGGGGATTTTTTGGCAGATGAAAGTATGAATGCGTGATGAGATGCATTTTTCAGACCGTGCATTCAGAATTTTTGACATATATTATAATCCTGATATGCAATGCAAACAAAAAAGGGACCTCAGAATAAACATAATAATGTCGATTTTTGTTAGGTTTGGCATGTTGTGGTACAATTCCACGGTATCCCCTTTTTCAATGACCATGGAGAACCTGCTGAATAAGACTTTATTAACATTTAGAAATTGCTCTGGCGTCTAATAGCAAATAATAACACGTCTACAGGGTTTAAGAAGACAAACAAAAACTGATCCATCTACAGAGGCTGTAAATGTATTAGTTTACTAGAACATGCTTTTTGGCTGCAGGTTTATAATCATAGCACTAATTTGATTTTTTTATTCAACCCCTACAGGGTCCTTGGCTCTGAAATTAAAGTGAAAATAATTAAAGCATTTATATATTATAACTGGAACAACCAAAATTAATTTAGCTCTACTTCACCAACAAGTATTTCTTGTTTTCTGTTAAATACAACTGTGTCTTCATATGTACTGATTCTTATTAGTTTTAGTGTAAACTATGTTTTAATACAAAAAAAATATGACAAAAAAAAATAAAAAAGTTCTGTGTCCATTCATGACAGAAAATGAGAGTGAATATCATTTCCTGTATGTGTTGTCTTTTGTTTTTATGATTTGAGATCTTTAAAAGAAAGCCAGAAATGTGTTGTTGTTGTTGTAATATTTACAGACTCTGGTTCCGTTTGGTGCTTTTAAATCTGTACGGCAGCATCTTGCTTTTAAAGAATGTATGTCGGTGACTTCAGGAAGTCTCAAGTCACCCTTGTTATGTGCATTAATGTATTGTCACGCTATCAAAGACGCTGGCTTTTGTTATGCCGATAACACGCCGGCTATATCTGCCATTTGTGGTAGAAAATAAGCACATTGGAACAGTCCATCCTCTGAACTCATATCTGTGTCATATTCTCTGAACTAGATAAGGTCGTACCATAGAATCATTTTTTTCTTTACCTCAGGAAAAAGGAATTCAATGCGAGCTAATATTTATCATGAAGTTATAAGATAGCTGAGCATTTTATATGTCTTCTATATTATATGGAGAATAGGATTTTGGTTTATGAGATTAGAAAATAATTGGATTATGTACTGATTTACAGTCGACAGACAGGAGAGGAAAAGCATAATTTGAACAGCACTATAATCTTTGTATGTTTTTTTTATTCTATTAGACATATGTGAATGTAGATTATAAGACCAGAACAGAATGGTTTGTATGGTACAGTGTGGTACATGTATTTTAAAATAAATCAGCCTCACGTGAAATAAGAATTCCTATAGATCATAAATCAGGAATTCTGATTTAAAAAAAAGATACTTTTCTGCGTTGATACTTTATTCAACACTGTGGCCTAAAAGCCCAGTTCCAGTCCTATTCATAAATCATAAACCATCTTTCATTTTTTAAAGAATAAAAAAAAATTGAATTGAAAAGCCCATATGTGTGTGTTTTAATAATAAAACTCATGTTCACTGACTCAGCACATCTTTGCTCCTCTTAAGATCTCACAGGATGGCTGATTTGAGATGACAGCCTAGTTCCAGTCCTATTCATAAAACATAAGCCATCTTTACCAGCCAGTTTGTTATATTTCTGTGGCTCTTAGTCAGCTGTGTTTATACAGAAATGAATCATATAAAACAATTTTTATGGTTTTCTTTAATCCGCACAGAGAATAAAAGACATAGGACAAAATTCACATCAGTAGAAATTAGAACATTCACAATACACCTAATTTTAGCTCACAAGTACACAGTTAGTGACAAACTAAGACATGTAATCACTACTTAACAAAGTGTTCATTTGAATAACCTGCGACAATCCATGCAGCATTCAGATGTTATTTCTCACTGATTAAATATGTCAGGCAGGTGTGTTTTTCATCACAGCAACCTCTGTCTGTTATTACAATCTATGCAGCTCAAACATATCCAAAGTTACAATTTGGAAAGGACACTTGACCTGAAAATGAAAAGAAAGTGGATCAAACCACGAATAAAAGACAAGCACGCAGGGAAGGAGATGACGAAGTTTTCATTGTAAGAAAGCACTTAGAAGAAATGGCAACAATGGTTAGGAAAGCAGGAAATAAAAGCGACAAAAAGAAGAGGGGTTTTAATGTAACAGTGCTTTTAAAGCAAAACCCTCGACTCCGTACCAGACAGTAATCACTATAATTGTTCGCGACACGAAATGAACTAAAAACATGATAAATCCAATTCCGTCCCTGAGGTTTTGTTTTTAAAACCTCAAGATTTGCACACAATAAATAAAACTTTGGTGTTCAAAACCGGCCCTTTTTCTTTCTTTTTTAAAGTGAAGTGATTTTTTTTAAAAATTGCTTTCAAATCTTTAACGTTTGTTCTTTTTGCTCATTTGCTTTTACAGATAGGTATGAAGAATGGATTCGGTTCCAGGATTGAGAATGAATGAGTTGGCTCTGCTCAGCCAGGGCTACCACCTGTTAGGCTAAGCAAAAAAACAGAAAAAAGAACACAAAGCAGTGTATTTAAGTGGAGTGCTTTAAAGTGACCTGCTTGTATTTGTATGACATCTACCTAACATACCCTTTCCTTAGAAATGAATGCACGCATTGTGAAATATGGAGGTAACCAGCAGAAGCAGCTTAAAGGCATGTGTGAGTGGTTAATTCCAGAGTAACTCTTTCAAAGACTAATATTGTTGTAAAAATAATAAGAAATATGTGGTGCAAACTATCAAACCAAAGCTGCGCATGAAGAGGGCAAAAAATGTCAAACCTCCAAGGAAGGCCATAAACCAAGAGTACATGACCATACCAGAAAAAGTGGAAAAGGAGAACACAAAATGAAGGGAACTTATGATTAAATGATGTTTTCTTGGAGGAGTTCTGGTAGCAGCCTGGTTGAACTTTGGCCGAACCTGTTTCCGCTGCACATAGCTTTCATACATACAGAGTTTTAAAATTTCATCAACACGTAACTGTTCCTGCATTATTTCCCATGTTTTTTTCTTTTTTCTGGTGTTTCTGTGTTTACGAAGAAAACTGAAAATGTGCCCGTTCACAGTGGTTCAATGAAACAAGACATCACTTGACATTTTTCGGCTCAGTTTCTGTACAAATTGAACAAATTACACATAATCCAATAATCAGTGACTGCAAAGATCGCTGGTGGATGTGAACTTAGGCAAAAGTATGCTCCTTTTTTCCCTTGCTACCTGCCTTAATGCTAAGCTAAGCTAAGCTAAGCGAGCTGTGTGGGTTTTTCCAGTAGAAGCTTTAAATTCTTTAACACATAATACAAACGTTAAATTTTAAAGGACACAATTATTTGCCTCCAGGTCTGCCCGCACTAGTATTCATGATGTGACTACACTGTCTCCGGCGAGGCAAAGATGATTCATGGGAGTCTATCAGAGGGCGTATTGTTCATAATATACTGTATAATAGATCCAAGGGTATTCTTCCAGTGTGTTAAACTGAGAACAAAGGAGCATTTGTTGAACAGAAAATAAATAAGTGTGTGGCCTGAAGCAGAAGAAAAGAAGAAAAACTCCACACAAAGCACTGCACCAACAAAAAAGGCATCCATTATTAAATTGAAAACTCGGGACTAAAGGTCGATAGGAGAGACCTAAACAGAATACAGCACTCTTCTTCACTTGATAGTAAAGAGCTGCAACACAAATGTTCATTAGGTTCATCAAAACAAATAAAAATGATGACAAAACGTGTCTTACAGCGAAATCAGGAGGTGGCGTAAAGAGCTTTACAGCGTGGTGGGTTCAGGGGGTGATGGAGAGCTGCCAGATGACCCAACAATCACAGGCCGAGGGGGAAATGTAGAAAAACGGTCGTTATTTCTCACGGGGACAGAGAGAAGTCGTCCTTACATTCCTGGTGAGCTGCGTGGTGGACGCTGTGATCACCTCCCGAGCGCGTGTGGTCCCGGTGGAGACGGGACCACTGACCCTGACCGTGTCACCACCGTCTCCTCGCCGCACCGCGAGGAATTTCAAACGGGGCGTTTTTACATTTTGCTGATGCTGGGCTGACTTCCAATGAGCGAGGCGGCGAGGAGGGGTTTGAGAGCGAGCGGCCAAAGTGTTTTCCAATGTGCACAGAGGTGTGACTTTGTTCATTTGCAGGTAAAAACTATTAACAATTTAACATAAACCCGGTATTAACATCCACATAAGAGCATTTTCCCGAGCTTCCAAAAATTCCTCGCTGTCTCGATGGAGGGAAAAGTGGTGGCTCGTTTCTACCAGAGGCAGCTCTGATTCAATCCACAAGATTTTCTCATAAGCATGCATGAAAATCTTGATTCTAAATTTGGTATTTGGCAAAGCAATCTCCTCTGAATGTGCTTGAGAAGTTAAAAGTAGACTAAATAATTTGTTAAGCTTTGTAAAATACAGCTTGGATTTGAGGGGTTTTCTTATTTTGTTCAGAAAAATGCTAACTTTGTACCCAGATGCTGTTTTATCGACTCTTTTTTTGCATGCCTGCATGCGTCGTTCAGCTGAACCACAAAGACTCAGCCTTGCATGCCTTGTACAGTACATTAGTTCAAAAGATAAGAACCGTCAACCAAAGAATGAGAAAGCAGTGCTGATGCTGTCTGTTGCTTTCTCATGTTGAACATGAAGAAACACACAACGCTCTCCTGGATGCCGCTGAAAGGCTGCCTGTGATTGTTCACTTTTTCTCCACGGTGAAATCTAGCAGCTAGTTACAGACGTGGCCGCTGAACCCCCTGATGTGCATTAAAGCAGCAAATTCAGCGAGCGCAAGATACATTCTGTTCCTTTTATTTTCCTGAGGCGAGAGCAGTGGGTCTGTTTGCAATGCATGCACCCGCAGAAATATCTAAGGGAGAGTTTTCTCACATTAGCCTAATAAAAACCCAAAGAGCTGAGCTCGAGCAATGAATGTTTAAACAGGGAAATACGGGGCCAGTAAATAACAAAACATCAATCAAGTTCATTTTGAAGACTGAGATTGAAAAGGGCCACAAAGGAGCCCGATGCTCATCAAGCAGAGAACTCTAACCATCAACAACTCAAACAGGTTCAGGGTGGAATTAGCTAGCACCAACCTTCCCCTGGGCTTGTTTTTCTTTGAGTGGATTCTCAATTAGTTTTTTTTCTCTGAAATGGAGCTTTGCTTTGAGTGTGTTAATCAAACATTCAGGACGCACGGAAAGCGTTTCGGTGACTAACTGAAGGTGAAAAAACTGCTTTTGTTTACCGCAGAGCTCCGCGGGGGGCCTTTAACTCCACGCACATCAGGAGGCTTTGCCTTTCAACCACCTATCAATGTTTTACCGTTTATCTGAGAAACATCTACGAGGAATTGTGTGTTTAGGCCAAAAAAATGAAGGAGTAGACTTTCCAGAATGCACATTACTCCTTAACTATGCCCGGAAATATCAATGTTTTACCATTTATCTAAGAAGCATCTACAAGGAATTGTGTGTTTAGGGTAAAAAAAAATGAGGAGTAGACTTTCCAGAATGCACATTACTCCTTAACTATGCCCGGAAATTTGCAAAAAGCTGCAGCTGACCTGTCGGTTTACTGACCGTTAACACAACTTGAATCGTTCCAGAGCCATCAGCAGACCCTTTGTAAGACGATATACGGCTCTCCAGTTCCTGAGCAGCAATTTCCACTGAAATTGAATCGAACAAAGTGTACATGGCGAGCAATATTCTGGTCAGAGAGTGACCGGATGGCCCGATTGAGACCTCAATGAAAAAAACGCTAACATTCTTATTAACTGTCTCAGTTTTAAACGCGGTTTGGTTGGGTTCATGTCTTCTATTTCACACCCTCTGACCATGCCTGGGTTTTATTAAGGTGGCTTTGCTACACACCAGCTCCCAGTTGAGTTTCCTCCTAATTAGCCCGCCGTTTATAATGCTGTAAATACTGGTTTAATTAGTTCGCTGTCAAATGCATTATTCTTTTATGGACGGTTGGTTTTGTTCAAAGTCGCATTTGGCTCAGAACTTCAATGGAAGTCCTCCTGTTTGGCAGGGCTCTCTATCACACACAGTTTAAAGCCCAGCCTTTTCCTTCTTAACCCTTGCAACAGCGCAGCTTCAGTTAGTGTTAACACAGTCACATTACCAAATAAACCGCCACACTTATTTATTCGTTTTTAGCCTTCTCAAGTGGTGAAATGTGGTCATTTCAACATTTCTGCGCATTGCTCTAATGAAATCCATTTGATTCAGCAGTGGGAGGTTTTCCATTAAGACACTTTTTTGGGTGTATAGGCTGGAACTTGATGACTCTAAAGCTCTATGTTTGAGGGGATACGATCTGGGGCTTGGATTGCAAATTTCACATCGCCTCGGGGTGAAGTAATCTGGCCCCAAGTCACTGCAGACTCTGTGTCAATTCGTTTGGTTTTTAGGTCAGCAAATCCAACAAAAGACTTGTAGACGGGACTCTTTGCCTGCAGCTCATACACGCCATAATGACACTACTGCCTTTATTAGGATAACGTCAACGGTATGAACTTTGCTGGGCATCTGCAGAAAAGTGAGTGAACAGGTTCCCAAGTGTTGAAAAATCCCCATTATCGAAAGCTCTGGAAAAAGCTCCATGTGAATGCTAAAGAGATTCTATATTTTCAACTCAAATGATATTTTGCATCAGTATCTACTAACGACTGGCAAAGCCCACCTCATAGATCCCAGACTCCTCTGTGCTGGTAAACAGTTGTCTGCAGCAGGAGCAGGATGGGAGCTCTGCTGCAGTATATGTAGGCCGTCGGGGACTCTGTGCATCAAGTTGAATACATTAGAAGTCTTTGACTCTCTCCGGTCTCCCCCTCGGGACCACGTCTCAGAGCAGGACGCCGGTATCGTGATCCCAGCGCATGAACCCCCTGCACATCCTTATTCATCACTGTCCTGGAACACATTCATTCAAATGTAAAGTCGTGAACCAGGAGACTCTGCATCCAGGAGCAAAATGGGGCTGAGTGTTCACAAAGTTATGCTTGACACAAAGAGGCACAAAGCTGGATGAGAATCTGAGAGAAGAAGAGCGCGACTGCGTCTTCCTGTGGGTCTGCACGACGAACTGCGAAGTATACGGCAGGCACAAAATGATTATAGTATACAATTAACTCAAATGGTTCCACTGCACACATAAATCTGTCCCTCTGCAGGGTAACGAATGACTCAACTCCTTCCAGAAAAGATGGAGTTTGTAATTGCACATCGCTCTATGGGCTGTGATGCTCACTGTCAATAGCACACCGATAAAAGTGTTGCAACAGCAGATATAAATTGGCAAGCCATCCAGACATCAAGCCAAAGCCACACGTCTCTTAAAACTCTATTTCACAGCATCGTAACAGCAGGAAAAGAGCTGACATCTTTAAGTTATGGGAGTGGACGCACGGCACATGGCAAAGCACCACCAATTTACCTACTCGTCCTCCTTGAGTCTGCCTTTTTAGCTCGCGTGAGCTTCCTTTTTCAAATGACCTTGCTCGCTAAGAAATCTTTCGGAGGATCCCGGAAAATTAAAACTGACAGAGCATCTGCCTCCGGTGCTCCGTCGGGCCAGACACGAGGTCCCGGATGATACTCATTACAGATTAATCATGGCCTGACAGAAGACGGACGCGCAGAGGAGACGGCAGACGAGCTGGTCGGGTTTCCGGGCACGACTCCCCTCTGTAGCGCAGCCAGGAGCCAAAGAGAAGCTCAGCCTGAGTCAAACGGGAGCTTACAGGTGCTGAATCTTCTCCCTGTCCGTAGCAGACCAAGTCCATAGCTTCCTTTGACTCACAGAGCAGCTAATAGACTGATTAGGTTGTTCGGTTCAGGAGGAAAGATGACGCCCGTAGATCAACAAGCTGGAGATATGGCATTACTGTTACTTTTTCTGAATCACCTGCCTGGTTCTGGAGGTTCAACCTGGACCAACCAGAAACCAAACAAACAACCGCAGAGGCAGAAATGTAGCAAAGTTTGTGTCGATATGGGTACGTCCGTTTTGTTAGGGTCGGTGAAGAGATCGGTTCGGTCTCTGGATGCTGATGAAAGAGACATCTGGGACTGTTCCACGCTGCTTCAGCCGGGGTCACGACAGCTGCCACGGGGGGTTGAAGAACTTGATGGCGTGAGTCTTTGCCCACTTCGCGAACACGGACTTCTCGGTGATGAAGCGGTGGCCGCCGTACGGGGCGCTCTCATGGAGGAGGTACTCGGCACACTCGTCCCGGCTGCCCGCCTCGTAATAGTGATAGGGAACATTTCTGTAGCCCTCCGTCCTGAAGGAAGGAGAAAGAAGAAACTGTGTCATTTAAAACCGGTAATTAAAGAAGAACTTAGGTTTGAAAGTCTGCCTGCAGGGTTATCCACCTTTGTGATTTAGTCTTTGTGTTAAAATAAAGGTTTAAGAATGCTATTTTCACACACGTCTTTGGGTTACCATGTCGTCCCCATGGCAGAAACACAGCCAAGTGGGACAAAATAAGTATTTTAACAATGGTTCTCTTTAAATGAGCGTTTTCTTTTGCAGAACTGGAACTCTTATCAGCACGCACAAATATATTTGAATGAAAACCCAGCCACTGTCAAGTGAGTTCAGTCACAGTGATCAGTTTATTACAATGCAATGTCAGGCAGAGAAAACTGCTAATTTCCTGTTTTGTCCAACAGGAAACTAACACACCAGTTAGACAAGGCGCCCCGATGCCTTATTGGCTCTGTCAGCCTCTACAATTTAGTCCTTCTTATCCTTTCACTCGATCTATTTTCTGATCAGGAGATGAAAGTCCAACATGTGAGAGGTAGAGACAAATTATTTAATTGCCAAAAGCCTGGTTCTGAACCAGCGTTTTGGGCATTGAGGGCTGCCGTAGCCACAAGGCAACAACACTGTGGAGAAAAAGGAGGGAGACCTTGTTCAGAAGTAATGGAAAAAAAACACATTTTTATATTTCACACAATTCTACTTGAGATGCGAAGATTTATCTGTTTAATATGGTGTCGGCTGACATTCAGCTTAATCACTGGCGACAGGAAAACAACTACCAGTGGCAGTGAGTGATGATGAGTTGTTTTTTTCTGGTTGTGTCACATCGAGTTTTTCTCATTTTCTGTCTGTACATGTGGAACTTTATGATAAAGTTTCCTTTTTATACTTTTTCGCTGAAGTAACCCATGAGGGCTGAAATACTCCCCTTAATATTTAGCTTTTTACTGCACATTTCACAGGGTTTTTGTTTGCTTTGTTTTGCCTTTTTACATCAGAACTGCAAAGAATTCCTTTAGTGAAACCAAAGAGTGACAGTGAAAACTGGACGTCTTTCATTTGGCTTCAGCAGGAGGCTGCTTCACCAAATGCTCCACTCAGTTTATCAAGCTACCCGCATGTACTCTGATGGCCTAAAAGATGGTTTCTTGAAGTGTTTTTTTTTTGCTTTTTGACAGCACTTTTCCCTCAGCGAATGCTTTCTTCCGAAGAAGCCTCCCAGATGGGTCTGCGTAAGCAACCATCTGCTGCATCAGGTTTCCCCGTCCCGCACCTCGGAGATGAGCTGCAGCTGTGAGCCTGAATTTATCAGCCAGCATCTTATTAATACTGTTGAGTGTGAGTGGGGACAAATCCCCAGCAACCAGGTCTCAAATCTTCTGTAAAAGCTTCCTAGAAAAAAGGATGCCGCAGATTATTGTCGCCACCCTGCACCTTCCCGTTTTTGGCCATGTGTCTTAGGTTGGAAAGATACACTGATATTGATTTGATCACATGCTGTGATAAAAGATGTCCGTGATGTTTGTTACTGGAGGCAATTATGAAATGACTTTCCTGGCACAATATCAATCACACACACGTATGCACATAATTCAATGGAATAACAGGTTCAAATTGTACTCTTAAACGTATTTTCTGCCAGACAGCTCACAAATACCACGAGTTTGCATTCTTTTTGATTTAAAACTGACAAACAAACAGAATCCTATTAACTAAAGAGGAACTGAATTATGAAACTACTAAACTGAGGCTCCCTCAGGATAGCGTTCAGTAATTTAAGCTAATTTGGCTGCAAAGCAAAGTTTGCAACTCAGCAGGTTTCCCTGGTTTGAAAAAGGAGCTGCTGCTGGCACTGAGAAATATCCATTTGATGCTTTTAAACTGAACAGCATTGATATTTGAAATTGAAAGACAACAGTCATTGCTACACCATATAGTACAGTATATCTAAAAGAATGACAAAAAGGGAAAATTAAATCATTTTGTCCCGAATCTCTTTTTGACTCCCTCTGTGTCCAGTTTAAATTGAAAAGAAGGTGGAATCACTCAAAACAGAGAGAAGCACCGAGCGGTGGATCAGGTTCATCGTGCACTCTGCTGCTTCTTTCTAATGTCGGCTGACAGCTATATGAGAGAATGACTCGTGTAACAATTGCACTGGGAGAATGAACACAGACAGAAGAAGAAACAGCCATCACAGCATCCAGTGGGTCCACAGTGAGAGCGCGACCGTGGCTGTCTGCCAGCCCACTGTAACACACACAACCCAATCACTGCCTCTCCTCCGTGTCACACAGCGCCGCGCACCGATGTTAACAAAAAAATTCAATTTCACCCTCTCTGCAGCACCTGTTGGGGCCTGCTGCACACAACAACCGAGGTCAGCTCTGGCCGCAGCCTCACATTTGGCCACACAAAACCCCTCTTCTTCTTCTAAGGCTGCCAGAAGTAGTTTGTGCAGGGGGCCCCAATTTTCAATTACAAAGCCAATGAAACCTAATTTCTTGTTGCATGCAAGATGGAGGGAAGTAAACGAGAGGAAGGTAGAGAGGGGGGAAAATGGCCCCTTAACTGCCTTGCTGAGTCATAAAATCCTCCACGGTGGTGGAATTATCCTCCCTATTCTGCCGTGTGTCTGTGGCTCTTATATCGGCTCTGGCTGTGCACGGGGGAGCACGGGGATAAAAGGCTGGATTTTCAGCCGGCATTAGGTAAAAGTATTTGATCCAGGGGATAGAGACAGTTCAGGTGTGGCTAAAGGAGAGGGTGAGGTTACCGTGGCATGGGTGGGTTGATACGGAGCAGCTAAACCCCCCCCGGTACAGCGTTATGATTGTCATCTTGCCCGTATCCCTGCAGCCCGACGGTAAACTACTCACCCAGGACTCAAGCTCATACGCAAATAAAAGTTGAAGCAGAGGAGGAGCTGGGTGCAGCACCAGAGATATTACAGCCTGCTGGGTATTCTGGGGGGGAACACATAGTGGTATTCATGGCAGCGAGAGCCCGATATGGACTTCAGCTAAGAAATTCAGCCATTACAGCCAAACTGAGGAATGTAAGCGAGCAGTTACGGCTCACAGCTGTGAGTGGACAGCGCGGAGGTTAAGGAGAAGCGGTTTTAATTTAGTTTTCCTGGAAACGCGTGTGATTTTATCCAAACAACGAGATGAGGGGGAGGGATGGAGGGAGGGCCGTGTGATAACTGATGTGATAAGTGATGTCTTACTTGCAGTAGGTGTCATTAATCATGCCGTAGACGTGGATCTCTTTGCACATGTCCATGGCCAGGATGAGCGTGAACCAGCCCGTGCTCAGGTAGGAGCCCGACTGGATCCTGCCAACACACAACAAGGCACAGCTTTTAGAGTTCATCAACATGAAAAGTATTTTGCATTAAAGAAAAAGACTTTCCAGAAGCTGGTCCTTTGCACAACTCAAATTTTCATTTTCATTTAAATGTGTAAAAAAAGGCAGGAAAAGGCCTTCAACCTTTATAAGATCAAGTATTACATCAGTCGTGCATCAGATTTTTTTAGACTAATTTAATATGAACGTGCGTGTCTGTGTGCACGTATGTAAAAAGCTTAAAGGCTGAAAAAGATCAGAGGTCGACACTGATTGATGGGAGCACCTGGTGGGCAAATCTATAACACACATGATCTTTTCATCAGAGTAGCAGCATTTGAGTTATGCCTGTTCAAAGTGAAGACATGGAAGCTTTGATCATCTTCCAACACACAACACGGAGCTGAGATCATTACTCAGTTTTACAGAAACCTGATCTGTAACATCTGAAGTGAGCACCTGCAGGCCACGTGAACCAGGGGGCCACAAACTCCCCGAGGTCACCAGGAACCCCCCCCAAAAAAGACCAAAAACCGATATTCAGTCGCAGCCAAGCATGAAAATTGTGTCAGTGGAGAACCGCATGTGTGTTTCAAAGGTATTTTCCTTTTTATTTTAAAAGAGAGGAAAATGGGATGAAATTAAAATCTATTATTACATCAAGAAATGTTATTCAAAATTCATCAGGCTGAGATGGAAATAGACCAGCACGATAGTCAGGAAGTCACGCTTTAAAGCAAAATAAACAACATAATAACCCATTTCATTATTAAAACATGAAATCTACTTTTCAATAATAACAAACAAATGTGAAATACATGTTACTAAGAAATGGAATCACTCCATATTTCTGATTTAAATCAATCTAAGATGATGTTCTACACTCTATGGCACACTGTCAAATAGTTTTGAACCATATTGGGACTATTTACAGTAACAATGGAGATTCTTATTTGTGCCATCCTTCATTTAGAACGGGGTCAGTTGAATCTGATGGGTGTTCGAGGTAATCCAAAAATAAGACGTGTGAAGAATACATGAGATGCTGCCCGTGGCTTTCACTGAGAGGGAGGGTCTGACTCGGGATTTGAAGACAGCTGAAGACTTACTACACCTGACTCCGGTCGGCAAAGAGGGCCATAAAACGGAGCTTTATTAGAAAAAGTCTGATTTCATTCATCACTACGTGTGATCGGGCGTTACTTAGTAGAGGGATGTGTGTAGATCATTATGTCAGGGGAGAATTTACCAGGTCAGTAAGTCCAATAAGTTCCCCATCATGGGGTTTTATGGCTCTCCTTGCTTTAAGAAATGTTCTAAAAGCTTGAAATTTGATAAAACAGCATTCAACACAGGGTGATTCAACAGGTTTGTGAGGAACAGCAGGTATGGAGCCACTTTTCTGAGTGCACTCTATTTGCAAAGTGGGAGACTTTTGTTCATGGCTTGTATGCAGCCTAAAATAATTTGCACCATTTGAGGGGCCAGACTTGGAGCTACCTAACGTCATTCTGCAGTGTTGGAGTTATCAAAGGTGGATAAACCAAGAACACACGTTCGGGACCAACTCTGAGAGGTCACTTAGATATCTGACAGGCAGCCTTTTGATTTTTTGGGGATAAATCGGTCACTTCAGTGCTATTGCTGATTAACGGGGACAACCGCCCTATATGATGCTGCAATAGCAAGTCCCGAGTACAAAGAAGCCACAATCAATTTGAAAAAGCAATCATCTGCTCAGTTTCAGCTCTATTATTGAAGCTATGTGTTTAAAAGCTCCCAGTGCAAAGCGTACTTCGGCTTTTGAGTCCAACAAACTCCCCCCAAAACACACACACACACACACACACACACACACAAACAAATACAGATATTGTGCTCGAGAGGAGATGAAATTACAAAAAATGCAATTTGTTGTAATAAAAGAGTGGAGGAGCAGTGAAGGGAAATGGGACATTATTACTGATACGCAGCTCGCCAGCTCTCAGCCGTCAGAGCTGTCAACACATCACCATTACCCTGCATTATTCATTAGCCATTTGTCACTCCTGGAGCAGGCAAACAGGTTTTCATACAAAAACAGCCACACATACACCGCGTCTGAGGCACAGAGGCAAAGAGCGAGCTGGAAACAGATAAAGGAGCTGGGATCTGCTGACACGATAACTAACTTTTCATGGCCGGGTTTGTGGAAGTGACCCAGAAGAACCACCGCCGGAGCCCAATGTCCCCAACAGGTTGTGTTGTTTGCCTGTGACAATTACAAAAGGGTCATCTTTGCAGACAGGGTGCCGCTTGTATGTGGCTATTTAAAAAAAAAAGCGAGATAAGGTGGAGAGGGAGGCTGCTTTGGCAGGCGTCAGACAGCATCCACGGCTTAAAGGACACACGACAAAATGCCAAAATGTATCATGAGGCTTGGGCTCGACAATACCTGGCTTTTAACCGCGTTTCCTTTAGTCCTCACTGTCTGCGAAAGCGAAATGAACTGTGTGTTTGGGCGCAAACAAAGCGGGATCAGAGAGACTGGGGGGGAAGAAGAAAAAAAAAAAAGCATTTAAAAAGCTCAGTTAAATCCTCCTTCTTCTCGCTCTCCGACACAAACCTGAGACAAGCGAGGCGGGAGTGATTGGCAGCGGCTTGTGAGGACGCCGCTGGCACCGGGAAATGAAGTCAGGCGCTCTGAGCGGCGTCTAAGTAAATAATCCCTTAAGTCTGACTGAGCTGGAACTTGTTGTGCTTTACCTGCCGAGCGCCGGGGGGGGCCTGAGGCGCGGGGGGACGAGAAGGGGGGGAAACTGCCCGGGATCAGTGAGACACTCATCTACCTTCCAGCTCGACACTTGACATTCACAACAGGAGAGCTGTCCGTGCGCGTGACCGGCGAGCCGCACCAAACACGATCTGACACCTGTCAAAAACACTCAGCCCAAGATTACTCACTCACATTGATGCTGCGTAGAAGGGGGCTGGGATGGGGAAAACGATGATGCGGACTCTGAAAGCAGCTGAGCGATAAACAAAAAGTAAACGATGTAATATCGAGACAAACGCGTGTAACCCAGCAGGACTTTGCCGCCCGTTCAAAGCAACAGCAGCTTGGATGATGTAAAAGTTGAGCACTGATCCAAATGCTTTTGGCAACTCATAAATGATCACTCAGAAATTAAAAAGGGAGTGTTTGACATTTTTGGAAATATGCTCTTTTTTTTCTTGCCAGCAGTTGGAAACGAAAGTCAGCTATCTGAGCAAAACCCTTTTCCCCCAGTTCATACGTTAATATACGTCAATCTGTACAAGGCGCATCGGTCCACATATTCGATTTAGCATTAATAACTATGTCAGGACAACATCTCCAGGCTGCTCTGTGACGGAAAGCATAGCAGCTACCAGGAACTGTTATCCATGTCCCTGTGAAACGTTTCTCTCACTAAACATAAGCATATGGATATTTGACACGAACCATGTCCATTAATTGTCTGTAAAAACACACTTTTTTGTGCGACTTCTATTGCAGGTGTGAGAGAAATAGAAGAGGAAGGAATCATGGACAGAGGGAAGACGGACTATGGACAGGGCTATTGAATGCATAGCACACACTGAATCCCTGAACAATGCCCCTGCATGAGAACTCAGGAGAAACAGGAGCTAAAGTTAACTTTCAAGAAGGACACCAGCAGTTGTTTAAAAACAATCCCAAAGTTAACTCAGTGAGGGGAATGTCAGTTTTGGAGTTGCTGTTGGCTGAACACTGACTGAATACAATTTCTGACAATTTTAAAAACAAGCAAAAATCAAAAAAAGTAATGGCTACTGACATTTCTTTATGAATAATATCTCTTTTTTCATTTTCCTTCCGGGTAAACACCAGGTTAATTCCATGTTTTGTTTCTCCAGCAGGCCGAACGACCGTAATGACTTCCCCACAGTAATCAGGCATATGGCTAATCTAGAAATCTGCAACATTTGTTTGAAATCTTAAAAGCCTTTGGAAGCCCAGAGCTCATCTCAGAGTCTAAATGGAAATTAAATTGCTTTATTTTCAAACGACACTTTAAAAGCGCAATCAGCTCCCTGTAAAATGGTTTCTCGTCCTAACTTGATGCGACTCTTCCTGTGGAGCTCACCGCAAACTGCTTAAACAGTAAGTCGCTTCTGTAAGAAGGAAATGGCAGCGTAATGTATCAAAATCTGTTCATTTCCAAGTAATCCATCAAAATTACACCCTTTTTTTTAATGTCCTTTGAAACATAATGGCAAACAAATAGGTCATTAAAACCTGAGGAATTGTTGTTTATATACTTCCTTGATATTATAAACCAGGCTTTAAATCAATCTCTCTCCCCAGTTCTTACTGGGCGAAGCCTTGCTGTAATACTTAAAATTGGTCTGAGGGGCTTTCTGCTTTTTTTCTTCGGGCATTGGCTGTTGTTAATCATTCAGAACTTATTACCTTTCAAAATATGAAGGGAATGCCATTTCATGCTATCGCGGTGAAAAACAGAACATGTCACGTCTGCCAGAAGAAAACAGAGCCAATTATTCTCCAGCTGGCCGGTGCTATAAATTACTGGAGCAACGCCCAGCCTGTGGTCAGAATTGATCAGTGATGGGTCCTCAGACTGACCTCAGCTATCCGAGGCCCAACAGCAAACATGTAAACAAGGTGGGAGAAGTTGGATTCTAACAGAGAGGGACTTTGAAGACAGAAAGAACAAATGCTCTCCATGGAGGGGAAGAAGCTCATTCTTAAGGGAGGGAATCGGGGATAAAAGGCTGAGCTCTGCCAGAGGACACCAGGGGTGGGCTGAGATCAGTGGCAGCAGGTCTGATGGAGGGATGGATCCTCCCCAGAGCCAAGACCTCAACATTAATGAAGCGGTGGAGGATCATCTGACAGGGAACGGAGCAAAAGGCGGCCCAGATCCAAAGGAGAGCTTTGGGATGTCCTTCCAGAAGCCTGGATAACTAATCCTGAAGACTTAGAGAAAGGACACCAAGCAGGTTGCAGAGGGTTCAGGCTGGGTTGATGAGTGGGAGCAGCTTTTAACAAACAAACTATCAAGATGGTTTGAGCTACAGTTAAGGTTCTCAATAAACTACAGCAATTATTGACCATTTTGCCAACGAAATACAAATAAAGGAGAGGCACCTGCTGTCGTCTCAGTGGTTTTCTGCTGGTTGAACGTCTGATCTCGTCCCTCTCTGAAGTTTTGTGTAGCTGTGCTGTGCAGATGAGTGCCTGTTAGTATCGCTGTGCTACAAACTGAGTGAGTGCTTTCATCCAGGTCAGTTTGGGCTTTAAACGGACAGGCCAACAACCTCCCCCCCACCTCCCTCCTCTATGAACTTACTTCTGCCACAACCCAGTGAGAGCATTTCATCAGACGGAGCCTCTCTCCTCCCCGGGATGGGATGGGATGGGGGAGGGGGTGGGCCCTCTGTCTACTATCTATCTTTCTCGTAATCTCTTTCTCACTCTTGTTTTGGCTCAAAGAAATTGCCACTCGACTGTAGCTTCGCATATATATAGTCCCGGGCAGCACGAGTACCATCAAACACAAAGCTGCTTCATAGAAGCACTTCCTCACCACGGAAGCAAAAATCGATGCGAGCTCTTGACAGCATAAGCAGCAGAAAAACATGGCGTGGGTCTCCTCTCCCTCATCCACTTGTGACTACTTCCTTCTCCGGGCAGGATGCGGCCTGATGTAAATGAGCCTGTTATTAATTGACTACCTCGCGCACAGCAGCGCGCCGCCAGACGGGCTGCCTGCCTGTAGGCCACTTCTGCGCAGAGGAATAGCCCACCGCGCCTTCCTGCGTCTGAAGGAGCCGAAGAACCCCTGGGAAGAAGGAAATGGCAGCGAAGGCCCGAGCAGAGGCTTTTTGAAACTTTTCTTCCCTGCACAACAAAGCGCTGAAACAATAGCAATGTAGGGGTAGGTTAAGGTACTCTAAGACTGCCGGTAAACACCTCGTTTGCTTTCTTTCTGCTTAGTTTGGTTAACTTTCAGAAGTAGCGCTGTTAAAAAAGCAGGAAGAGGAAGTTAGCCCATGGGGGAAACAAAGATTTCCAATAATTCCAGATACCATTAATGAATTGTTTCTTTGTCTTCTCTGACGCAATTAACAAATGGGAGTTTTTCTTCGCAGGCTAAGCTTTAAAAGAAGGGGGTGTGCACGTGAAAACCTTATCCGGGTTCAACCGGGGGCCCGTTGCCCTGTTTTGGAGTGTCAGGGCTGTAACAGGTGAGAAGTCACCGCGGCACACGTTGCGCTCCACATCAGCTCGGCCCTCCTTTGTGTTGTTTCCTGTCTCCTAGCAACAGGAAAACAGAAAGCGAAGCACTGCAGCAGCCCTGCTCCTCGCTTCCCGGCAGGGTTATTTAGTTGTGTTGAAGGGGGTGTGCGAGCAGTTTTCTCTGCCCTTACATCGACGCGGGAACAGAACAAAAGCACCCAGAGATCACAGGCACAATGCCCACTGATTTGTTCAGGAATTCATCATTTTCTCCAATCAAAGTCTTTGTTGTAAACTGTGGTTCCAGCTCTTCATTTAGAGATATAATTCCTCAATCACTTCTATCTATTTCTGGAGTGCAAGTTTTGAGTACGGGCAAAGACAATTCAACTTTAAAAACAGAGGAAGTTTGGAGGTGCACAATTCTGACCATCTCAGTGTTAAGCGCCGAATTCCAAAAGACACAAAATACACAAAAATACATTTTGTTTCATCACTTTTCTGAATTCTCCTCCTCCACATACAAATAGCTTTCAAATGCTGAATGTCTCCTCGTGCCAAACTATTGAACTTGCATTCAGCTCAAGCTTTTCAGATACAAATGAGAGATTTCAATAGAGAAAATGTGGCTATTTCTTTCATTATAAAAAGGATATGTGGACTTAGTAAACAAAGCATGATTTCTCAATAGCCCTGCGGAGATATAGCAAGCAAACATTAGACCTGGCCTAAACAGGGAAACCACAAAAATGAAGAGAAAAGATCATAGAAGAGAAAATGAATATTTCAAACTCGAATGCGGGGGTGAGATTAAGATAAATTGGTCGGAGGAAAGTTGTTTACCAGCTCTCTCGACTTTCTGTGTGCCGAGTACTGCATCTATTTTGACAATCAAATTTAATAACAGCGGGGAAAAAAAGGAAGGGAGCGCACATTGTGTCATTGTCTGAGTACATTTTCATACTGAATGATACTCTGCTAATTTGTGATGTTGAGCTTTTTTCTGTGATAGTCCTGTCTCTGTCCTCATTACCATTCACAGCGCTAAAGCTCGGAGAGGAGCAAACGCACACTGGTATCCGCTTTGGAAGATCTTCGAGCATTCATGAAAAATAAAACACAAAACCGAGCCGGACAATATCATTTTAATACAGAGTATTAAACTCACCTGACATTGATAATGAAATGCAGAAGGCTGTGAAGTTTCATCAAATTCCTTTTTTTTTTTTGTATTGTTTTTGTTTAGGCCAGAAAAAGAAAACCTTAATATTCATTCTGCATTCAATATTTAAACATGTTGTGCAGCCCAGAGGAGCTCTCTTCGTTTCTGAAAGCATAATCCAGGTTCCAGGTGTCACTGGTGTCAGTTATTGGATGCTTTTCACTCGCTGGAAGGTGACGACATTAAAAATCTTCATAGATAATTCCGCAATAACTTGGCTTATCTTAGATGCCAACGGGAAGGTTGTTCTGTTGTTCCACTGTTTAGTCCCTGGATATGCATTGCTTTTTCTCGGGGATTAATCATTTGCGCTGCGGTCCTTTAGGGCCGGTGATATTGGATTTTTTGCTCCCTTGGGTACGTCTTTGTTTCCAGTTCAGTAGTCTTTGTCATTTTGAAATTTTCTGCCACTCTTGGGTGACCCCTTTTTCCACCATTTCCTGTTCACACTCAATCTCTGCTCCTGCTTTTATCTCCGCTATCAACAATTTCCCTCTGTGACCCTTTCAACCCGCCGATACCCCGGCACCCTCACTTTGTTTATCCGTCTCTCCTTATTTCTCTCTTCTGACTCTGTCCCCTGCCTTTGCCGTGATTTAATGGCCTTGTAGTCGTCCTGGTGCAGATAGCAGTGGCAGCGGAGTAAAAGAGGGCAGAGGGCTGGTTAAAAGGTACAAAGAGGCCCAGACGTCCCTCAGTGATGTGTGACATTTGGGATAGAGGGTCCTCTAAAGTAAAGTAGGTGACTACTTAATTCTGAACACAGTGTACTTTCTGCCTGTAGAGCAGCATCACGCTCCCTTTTATTGATGGCGAGCAGGGAGGAGAGACAGGGAGGATACAATGAAAATATCACAACAAAAACAAGTAGGGGTTTATTTCCTTTGAGAGTCTTAGGAAAATATCACAAAGAACGCAGCAGCTGTTGATGCTAACAGCCGTTTCCAATATCATCCTTGGTCGACGCATCTCCAGACAGGATATCAAATGTCGCACAAATCTAAAGATAAACATTCGAAGATGTTTCAAAGGTGACCAGCTATTGACATTTTGGGATGAACAAGGACTGGTGGAAAACCTCGGTGTGGCTTGGCCGTGTATAGGCTCGATGTGAAGGTGTCAGATGGCCTTGGAAGGATTTTCTGCCACTTTCTAAAGGGTTGTACTCCAGATTTATTTGTGTTTGGTGCGTAACATCTCAGAAACTGTAACTGTAATGGTTTCTTTCCTGGGTTCTCTGTAATGATCGGTGCTCCCCGTCCTGATTCAAGGCAAACTGCGTGGCAATCTTTCTTTTTTTTCTTTTTTTTTTTTTTAAATGGTGCTCTTGGGGGGGAAGCATCACTCACTTCCAACTGGTTAACAACTGTGCTCCAAGAAAAACAAGCAAACCAGAACAAAAATTCAATCTGATGACCAGGCAAGCATAATATTATGTATTTAAGAAGCCACTGAGATTGAAACAACCGCCTGAAATAACGATACTTGCGACAATATGTCACAGATGATTGGGGTAAACAAAATGAAAACGAATGCAAATACAGGCCTCCTGTTTTTTTTTCCAGCCAAACCTATTCTAACATTTAAACAGCAAACAGAAACACAGTCACGTATGTTCACATCTATATAGGGATAAATAACACATGAATATATAAATAAGAAAGTCTGTAATGAGGAAAGAGCTGCGGCACAGCAGGATCCGGGGTTTTTTTTTATTTTTACGTGCACTCCCCTGCAGACGTGCATGATCCCGGCTGCTGTGTTCGCTGACACTCGGCATGTGGAGCGCATCCATCATCCAAACTCACTCTACACTCAAAGCATTTGTCCCCTGTCAAGTTTACAGGGGGAAAAAAAGCAAATACAAACACCCCAAATGACGGAACAGATGGTGCTAAATAGCCAGAGCCAAAAAAAATAGCATATTTTCCCAGCCTCGGCCTTCCCCCGGCACTGACAGCGCCGGGTTCGTACGGATTCCCACGTCTGGCAACCAGCACTTTAATAATTCTCTCAGAGCAGAAGAAAGTGGCTGATTCCTTCATGCCCACCACCTCCCCGGCAGTTTTCTCTCATTAATTTCACATCGCCCCCGTGAGTCTGAGGAAAGACTTTGAGGAGAAGAAAACGCATTAAGATCTTAATCTGTGTCCTTTTAAGTGTGAGGTGAATATGTCTGGGCTGTTTGTTTAACAAGGAACACCCCCCCCCCTCCCTGTCGCTAACAGAGCGGCCTCCTGGAGAAAAAAAAAAAAATTATGGCAGAGAATCGCTTCTCCTCTAAATTTTCGGATCATAAAAAATCATATTCAAGAACGTATTTAGATATCTTTATGATAAATAATGAATCTATTCTAATTTATTATGTTGATTTGATTGGAATAAGATTTAATGACTAATCACCAGGGTCAAAAACTTTTTTCAAAGCCAGAAAACTCAGCTTTTCTCCGGTCTGCCATTGTTATTTATGCATGAACAACCAAAGCTGTGGACCGTGTGTGTCTGTGCCGGACGACAAACGGTAGCGTCCACACCGCTGTGTCGAGTGACCTCTTTGTGCGATGGCTGGCCCTCACAGGGTCAGGATCAGGAAGCAGATGTCAGACTCATCCCAGAGAGCACAGATGTCCACTGTTAATCTAAAATAATGAACAGATTAGCGGTGCCGTTTCAATCAGCTTTTTTTTTTTTTTAAATAGATGACAGGTTGGGTTCAGGGTCGTTTCCGGGATTTTTTTGGCTTGGATCGAAAAATATTTGGACCCACAGAGACATTTGCGGCTATAAGCCAGCTAAAGGCTTAATAACTCTGCCGCTTTTGTCTTTTAATGTTAGGTTTCTCATGATCTAAAGTACTAATAAATTAGAAAATGACATTTTCTCTTTTGTATTACACAGCAAATGAGTTACACGCATATCATCCCGGAGCAAAACCAATTCATAATTACACCGTGTTTACATTTAAAGTCCCTTTAAACGGTTGTTGGTATTTTCTTTACTTAGGTCCCACAGCAGCGTGGAGCCCTGATGATAAATCACAATTAACTCTACTTACTCCTCAAATGGACCACCAGGTGGTTTGTTTTTATGTTAAAAGATTCAAAGAGGAGGAAAACTTTCAAGAACTCCAAGAGGAAACATATATATATATATTTTGTGTTCATGAAAATGGATGATTTATACATTCATATTTTTTTAATAGAGGTCAACTGTTTGCTTTGAATTTCCTCAAAAGTGCATCAAAGCTGAAAGCATCCCGCCTGCTCTTTAGTTGTTTCACACAATTTCCGCCCACGGACGATGCCCCGGTCTCCTCCACACTCCAACTTCAAAGCCTGCTACTCTCCTGTCTCTTTTTCCACACACAGATATTACAAACCGATCATTTCAATTTCCCCATTGTAAGGACAAAGCTGGATTAGTGAGCTGGATCTGCGGAGAATCAAACACTGACGCTCAAACTTTCTGTTTTGTCTTAAAGCACTTAATGTCACAGGGAGACCCGGCGAGCAGATAAGGACTGCAGGCATTAGACTTTGTAAAGAGACAAAATAAAGAGCAACTCGGCTAAAAAGAGCAAAACACGAAGCATCACAGAAAAACCAAGACCATAGAAACTAGAGGAGTCGCAAAAGGTGACGACAGCGCAGAAAACCATGTTAATAAATGGTGAAAGTTGAGAAAGTTGTGGGTAAGCTTCTGGCTCAACATCTAGACCACCGAGAGATGATTAATCGCCTTTAAAAGTGTTTACTGCATCGTATGAAAAAAGCCTAATTCATTATCAGCATTTTAGACGAACAAATAAGTCTAAAACAAACAACAAAACAGACAATGTGCAAAAATTTAACATAAT